ACACCTCACCCACAGAACAACCTTATTGCAAATTTATCATTTTTAAAACTTGTGACTTGAGGTACTTAAGAATGGGAATAACTACTAGTATGTGCTCGGCTGGTCTTAAACATTTGTTAAAACCACTACAAAAGAATGGGTGCTGATTTAATGTTCCTTGCTACATGTACTTGCTCATTGTGTTCTGTGCCATCTTACCTAGCGGCTAGTACATACCGTGCGTGTGCATGTCTCCATATAAGGTCATTGTTTATGACTACTTGCAACAAGAATATGCCGTAAAATGGCTAGAGGGGTGATTGAAAAAAATAATTTAAAATTGTTGAACAGAATTGCTGAAATTTTCTAACTTCTTGACATTTTTCACACCAAAGGCATTTACAAGTAAGAATTTGTGAATACCTCAGACACTTTTTTATTCCTGTTAGTGGAAACGCATCACGTAACCTATATTAACATTTGATAATGCCCGCTGAGAAATGATAATGCCCACTGCGTAACTCACACGCTGGCACATGTTACGAGACAGCCTATTCGGGTCTGATTGGTCAGGAGTCTGTGCACACGACGCACCACACGCATGCCAAGCTCATTGAAGGGGATTATGTTGGACAACTTTCAAAAGGAATATACCATAAAATGGATGGGGTGTTCGGGAAAATGAAAATAAAGTTGTCAACAAAATTGTTGTAAGTCAATCATACGTTGATTTCTTTTGACTCTCTGGATAACAAGGTATTTATAAATGGGAATAAATATGTACTTGGCCAGTCTTAAACTAACGTTGAAGGCCTTGCTCAGGAGGAAGAATGCTGATAATACCCTTGCTTGCGGCTTTGGCATCAGTAACGTCCATTCTCCAGAGCTGGTCTTATACAGATGTTTAACCCCTTGACGACAGAAATTTCTTTCCAAAAGCCGACTCCGAGAATTCCAGCCTTCTTTGGCCACGAAGGCCACCTGCCAAACCACAAATTCTCGGTTTGTGGCCCTGCGTGCTCTGCAGGCTTTGAATTACACAGTGAAAAGGCTCATTGTTCGGTGGCATGCGGCTCTACTCATGCTTCCACATTCCTGTTGCCTCTTTTCAAAGTGGGGACTATTGTGAAGCTGGTGATTATGATGCAAAGTCTGTCTGTTCATTTCGGGGCTACACACAAAGGCCAATCACCATATATACAAGAGCCAGGGTCTGCCTTCTTTCACCGTGTTTGCTCGAGCGTGGGCTGAGAATAATAGCTGAAAAGTGGGCTGAGATCTCAATTTTTATGGCTGCTCTAGCCGTCGCGGCGCAAAGGGGTTAAGACCAGTTGAGCTCATATTTATTACCTTATGAATATGCTTTTTTGCCTGTTTCAAAATAATGGTTTACACCAGCCAAGCACACATTTATTCCTTATTTAACTAGGGTAAATCCCTGTTCTCTCTAGGGTGCTGGGGGAGAAGACAAGCAGGATATGTTCAGGTATAGAGGTGGGCGGAAAACCAAAAAAATATTCCAGGGAGAACCACAGAATCAGGCAGGAACTAAGAAACCAATCCACATGTCAGCTTAGTTGGGATTTGAACCTGGTTCACAGTATATGGTGTACCATTGTGCAAAATTGGCTACCTGAAAACAAGTTTCACAAACTCTGTCAAGTTAGAGCGATACATATTTTTATTTTTAGGTTGATCTTGTGTGACTTTTGTACCATTATCCTGGAAATGCATTGTAATATTCTCATATTGGCTGTTGTGTCCTCACAGAAAGAGATGATGTTGTCACAAACTATTTCAACAAACGCAGCAAGCGCAGTGGGGTCCTTTCTGTGTTTGACATGCTGAGAGACACGCTCATCCCTGAAAGGACGAAGCGCTTCTGAGAAGTCAACTTACAGTGGAGTAAAACTCGGTCATCTGAGTGTTACTATCATAAGGCACTCTTGCCAAGTATCCAAGATACATGTACTCCTAAGCTTGGTGTAAGCCCAGATAGCGATGGGAGCATATGAAAAAGAAGTTTATGCACAACACAACCATTCAGGGTCATTGAAGTATTTGAATTCTAATGTACCTTGTACAAAGTTTCCAGTTGTGCATATATGCATGGCTATAACATTTGCACGGTGATCTTTCTTAGGGAACAGTGGCTGTCGTTTGTGTAACTTGGGGTTTGGATTTGTGCCTTATCTCACTGCCTTGGTTGGTGTATACCACAGAGCTACATGTATATTACATTAGTAAAATGCTGTCTCCTCTTTTCTTGGTGATACACTTTTTGGCGCCATTCTTGGTGCAGTTATTTTGAATTCATGTGTGTGTTTGTTGAATGTAATAAAATAAGGAATGGAATGAATTCCAAGTGATGTACTCTGGTACAACAAATGCAGATACATGTAGCGTGTAAGCACATCAATTAATTAATAAGGCATTAGGTAGTCTCTGTGAAATTTGTCTGCTGCACAATGCGCACAGGTTTGCTTTATGTACACCAGGCAAAACAAAACGCTCATTTACTGTTTAAACATTTCAGTTTGGGGGTATCAGCTTTGTTGACACTTTGTTTTAGAATACAAATGCATGCAGCTGTACAAATGTCATGCAAAAATTTGAGTTTTCCATATGATTTTGCACATTTGTGGATGTAACCAGCAGGCTTCACTTTCCATGGTGAGTTAGCGCTCTTAAACTAGTGATGTCATATACCTTGATGGTGTATGCTTAAATGCATTCTATGCACGTACTTGCGTCTTCAGTAAATTGTACGGACATTTTTTTTTCCTGCTTATTTCTTATTCTTGCCACCTAAAACGCTTGACTGGAATTGTTGCCATGTGTGCTAAAGAAAAGATGCGGCAAGCAAAAGTAGCCTAACAATTTGTATAATTGATGCTTGAGTACTTGTGTATGTGTTCTCAAACTGTGCTTCCTTAATACGTTACAATTTAAGTTCTAAAATAATAATTCCCTTTCAACTGGTGAATCATAGTTTCAGGAATAGTTCCCTTACATGAACAGAACATTGCTGTAGTTCTTTGTGAATGTTTAGCTATTAACGCCTGCTGATCTACGTTTCTGAGACACTTTCCACACTGGCGTTTGTGTCAGTTGTAAACTTATATATTGATATACACTGTACAGTACGTATACAAACGTGCATTTTTTGACAAAGCCTGAATAAAACATATCATTATGGGCTGTTTATCACTGAATTACTTGTTCCAATACACTCACGGCCACACCACAAAAATGGAAGTTCCATTCCATGGTCTCAAACTTTCTGAATTCATTCATGTAGGTGATGCAGGGCTTTATTCAAGTGATTGAGGGGTTTTCCTGGTGGTAGAAAACAAATTATGAAGGTTTAACACATATATAACGGAAGGAATAATTTAATTTGTTGGTCAATCTAGGAGGTGTAGGTAAGTAGAATGGAATGTTTTGTCAGTCACCCAATGAAATTGTTTTTGCATTGTGCTAGCTAACATTCATCACGTGTATAACGCATGCTCTGACTCATCAATAGAAAAGATGTGGCTCCAAAAAGTAACATGGAGAATAGAGTTTTACAAGGTAAAACAGATGGCCAGGGACTAAGATGCTCTTGCTTTTGCAGGATTTCAGGTATTTCTAGAACTTCAAATTTAGTGGGCAATGAGCACATTTGTCAGCATGTTATAAAAGTTCTTGTGATCTTGTCAGACCCCATTGACTGAATGTCCTTGCATAGTAAATCAAAGTAATTCTCTTGTTGAAATTTAAAGTTGTCTTGATTTGATGCACATTTACTTGTAATCAAACAGCTGTGAACTACTGCAGCAAACACGGCTTCAACCCGTGAAATGGGAACATGTTTACATATGTTTAATATTTGACATTGCTACCCAGAGGTACACTATCCTTGGGGGGAGGGGGTATTTGAGAGATGTCACAATTTTGTACCTGTGGGGTTGAAAGTAAAAACTTGAACACTTGTTCCTCATTTACCATGCTTAAGGGAATTATTGTACTGTTGGATTCCATGGAAACATTTTGAGTTTGAAGCATACATAAGAAATGTTGAATTATTTTGAGAAGTTTTTGAATTGTTAAAACTTGTCTATATTCTCATGTATTTCCCAGATGTATTCCGTTCAGATACATGTGCATGTATGCCAAGCATGGAGAAGCATTTACACCCGTAGCTGCCACACATGTAATAGGATTTATGTATGTATTTATAATTTACTATAAATACACATTTTGTGCTCAAGGATGAACAGTGAAAATGGGCACAGGAAGAACCCTTTTCTCAAGTATGTTGTGGTTCAATGGCTTCTAGAGTTTTAAAACAAGTGCTTTGAAATGAAGTTTTTATTGTCAGTGTCAGTACTGTAAAATCTGATGAACTTTATTACATGCAAGTGGTAAATTGCTGCTATGCAGATGGAAGTACATGTAAATAGATCTTTCTGCTGTAGTATTTGGATGATGCACAGACATCAAAGATGTCAAGGTTTGCAAAATTTTATCGAAGTACAATGTACAAGCACATGAGTAGCTTCATAGAAATGTTGGTTGAACTTGGAAAAGACTTTGGAATTAATGTACCTGATTTTGGAATGTTATCAATCCTTCATATCAAGGGTGCCATGGTTACATTTCAGCCACTAGACAAAACAAAATGCATGTACCTTACAGACCTGCAACATACATGTACATGTAATGACGTTACAGTGACATTTTGTTTAGATGTGCATTTTATTCCATCAAGAATGCACACATGGGAACAAAGTACGGTGTCCTTTCCAAGAAGTGGCTAAAGCAACTCATGTAGACGTTGCACTTTACTGTACCTTTGCACACGTATCCATAGTGGTCATGTCCCTGTATGATGCACATTTATAGTCAACTCCCATTATAGCAAAGTTATAAGGGTCCAGGCAAATGACTGTTTTTTAGCCAGCACTGTGTTGTAAAAAGAGTGGGGAAAAAGGAAACAAAAGAACTGAAGAAATTAGGATTCTCAGAATTCACTCTTTATATCGAGAGTTGACTGTATTGTACAGTGAATGAATATCTCATTTCACAAACCTGGCCAGAGAAGCATGCAAATATTGACTGCTGTGAGTGGCATAGCAAAACCAACCTCTCAAGGTGACCCATTGGGAATTACAGGTATATTTAAGCTTGTAAAAGGCTCTAGAAGACAGTTTGTGTTTTGATAAGTTCATCTCATCCATGGATTCTGGTTTAGAGACTTTTGTTTCAGCAAATGTAAAACTGATGCAAACTAGTCAAAGCTCCTTAATGTGAGCATTTTTATACAATATTCTTCTTTTAACGAGGTAAACTTTAGGTCTCAGTCCTAATAAATTGTTCTTCGTTGTTTTCAGGTACATGTACATGTACCTCTTACTAAGAGGTGTGACTATTTGAAATTAAAAGAAGAATTTTCCAGTTCCCCCATAAGATGTTGCACCCAACTCGTCTTGACAAGTACACGGTATGTACAATTCACAAGCACTCCTCTATGACATAAATGCAGATGTAAAATTGCTATTACTACAGCACAAGTTGCTTTTACTGATCTCCACGAAAAATCCTGATATTTCAATAGGTGTGAAAAAGCACCGTCCCCCCCCCATTACCACTTAGGAAACAATACATTATGCAGATTTTTCCCAATGATTGGAATTGCTGAGACTACATATGCTGTCCCCTCTGTGTTTGGAGATCAGTGGTTGCAGTGCCATGTGTTTCCAAAATTAAGGCGCTGTGGAAGCCTTGCGGGAGGACATGGTAAAATTAAAATTGTAAGAATAGCAAAAGCCATGTAATGAACTCTCAGCTAGTTTGGACTCACTACCTATGATTGAGGTGTCTTTGTTTTCTACTTCCTGGTTACCAGTTCAAAAAGGCTGTTGATACCTTTTTACATGATCATAAGTCAAATTACCAACAATTTGGAGGTGACTGGTTTCAATAAAAGTGCTTGGCAGTAAGCCAATTGGTAAATTGTTCATAAATGCATTGAATTTATAAGCAAAGTTTGGTTTCACAATTAAAATAAAAAACATCTGAAATTGTGTCATCTATGATTGACATCACAGTAATAGTGCCCTCTGTTGTCCAGAGAAGCATGGTCAGTTTTAAATGTTTAAAACGGTGCTGTTTCCAATACATGCGGCTCAAAAGGGTCATCCGATAGTTTTCATTTATTACAAGAATATAAAATTGCATGAAAAGCATGCAATAAACAAAAGTCATTGCGTGAACGCTTGAAGCATAATTAGCAACAGCTTTTTGGATTCTTGATTCTAAACAAATAATGCTTCAGGGCTGGCCAGCTGTACAGTATATGGAAGCTTAAGTAAGGAAAATATCTCATTTTCACCTCAATGCTGAAACTACATTTGTTTGTTTACAGTAATACTGATACAAAACTTTAATTACCATGCAAAGTTTCATTGACTAAATGCATAATATAAACACAAATGATGTGTTTACTATGTAAAAACACTGCATTGAAATGACAAACATTTGTAGTTTGCAGTTGATTGTAAGCTGTCACTGTCAGTGACTGTGGCAAAAAGAAGTTCAGATATTTAATTCATCACATGACTTCAAAAGAGTACTTGTAACTGTGTCCTTCAATCGGAGGAAATCGTGGTGGCTTAGATAATTCCTTCATCATCTTAGCAACCCTTTCTACATCAATGTTGCCTGAGCCACTAGACTCCTCGCTGTGACCGGACCGAGAGCTGGCATGCGTCTCCAGCAAGAGTCTAGAATTACCAGGAAACAGTCGAGAGTCCAGGCTGTCTGAGATGTGTGCGTACATCTCTGACTCGGTCTTGACATCACCAGTGAACAGCCGCCGGTGCTGGGCGTCAATGATATTCTTGCACTTGAACTCCAGCGGCCGGTCATGGGGCGAAGGCTTCTGCTCAATCACCCTTTCTACAACGTCCTGTGGCAGGTCAGGTATCACAGCCGTTTCCATGCACGGCCTTGTTTTGCCATCAGGTACGTTGACAAATGCCACATGAGGACTATGCTTTCCATCCCGTTGCTGTGCCACATTCTTTTTGTTTGGTTTATGCTTTGCCAACACGTCTGAAACTCTTCCCTTCTGCTGAGGCTTGCTAGTACGTGGTTGATCCCTTGGTGGACTTCTTTGCTTGCCTTGAGTCATGCTGTTTGCTTTATACATCATATTTTTAGTGGTTCTAGAATCTCCCATTTTCAGTATTATGTCAGGTCGAGATACTCGTTTCAGAGGAGGCCCAATCGGCTTCGGTTGAAGCCCCTTCTCATCAAGCCAATTCGTGAAGGACAAACTGCCGTAGAATTCCTTATGTGCCAGCTGGGATTCCTCTGCGTCCCTGTCATCATCCTCTTTCAAGGTGCGAAGGTGTTTCAGTTTCTCCATCTCACCAGCCTGATAATTTTTACCTTGCCTCCAGCTTTCAGATGCTAGAATCCTGCAGAAACATAAAAGGAAAATGTTTTAAAGCCATTTAGTATCACAGCAATGTGCTTCGGACTCCTCACTTGCGACAGCGCAGAGAAAGGCTTGCCCCGCAGTTGAACACCATATTGCTTTTTTTTTATCCAGCAGTACTATGGTAGTGGTAGCATGCTCTGCTGTTGTGCTTGGCAACCATGGAATTACCGTCTAGGTTTGCACATTTTTGATAAAAATAATACCGGTGCATACCATGTGTAAACACAGGTACATGCATACAATATGCCAATCTTGAAGGGTTACAGAAATAGAAAACATTTAGTTCGCGTGAAAAATTTCAAAATGACAATAAACAGCATTTCAAAAACATCATAAATTTAATGTTTACCCCATTAATTGTGACCCCAAAATAAATAAAAAGATCCTGCTCTACCCCATCCAAAAAAATCCCCATTGGGCCGTCCGCACTCCCAGGCTGACGTCATCGCCAGAATAATGTATGTGCAGTAGTGTACATTGCAGTGCACAGTGCATGTACAGTATACATGTACATAGCGTACACTACATGCAGTATTGCATGCAATAGATGTTTGATGTAGCTAGGCCCGCAGGCAAACACTGTCTCAGTTCAAGGTAGAGATTAAAAGACACAGTCCTACCGTTTATTTCTTGAACTGAAACAGTGTTTGCCCTGTTGGCCAAGCTAGATCAAACACAACGCGGTCTATTGCGTCTGATACTGCATGTACTGTGCGCTATGTACATGTACACTGTACATGCATCGTTCTGGCGATAACGTCATCCAATCAGCCTGGGAGCGCAAACAGCCAAAAGGGGATTTTTTTTGGGGGGGGGAATCATAGGATCTTTTTACTTATTTTGGGGTCACCATTAATGGGGTAAACATTAAATTTACGATGTTTTTGAAATGGTAACGTATATGTATTTATTGTTATTTCGAAATTCTTCACTTAAACTAAATGTTTTTTATTTCTGTAACCCTTTAAGGAAAGTTACGGCTAGGAACGAATCATCAGTGGTTCAGTCAAAATAGTCAACAATTTACACACACCTGACACTCCACTGTACTGCACGCCAGACAACTTCCTTCAAATTATTTCTTTTGACACTTACCGGGCACATTTCCTGTGACCCCAGATCTTAGCATAGTCAAGTGGTAGATGGCCCTTGTTATCTTGCAAGTGAATGGCAGCGTTGGAGTTGATCAGTGCCTCTAGGCACTTGACACTACCCTCTATAGCTGCTTGGTGAGCAGGTGTTAAGTCATCCTCATTTACACTGAGGAAGAGCAAAAGAAAAGGAACAAAATAAATTAACAAGGCAACCCGTGCAGTTACACTACCTATGTACATGTATGTTACCTACCCTGGGAATGAATCTGATGTCATGCTTATTGACTTGAATTTAGAAAAAAACAAAAAGATACATGTAAATATTGCTTGAAAAAATGGGGGCAAATATCGTCAGTAATATTTTTTGATTGTTGCAGTGTATGCTCTGGTTTATTCGTGCCCGGACTTCTGGCTGAAAAGGTGCTACAAGTTGGAAATAGATTTGTTTTGAACAGTGTTAGACCCCTCGCCTTCCCATCCACTCTGTCCTCCTCCATATTAGTTTATGGACTTACAGTGAGGCATCAGCCCCTTGGTCCAGCAAATACTGCACACAGCTGAGAGAACGTTTGCCAGTTCTGCTGTTGATAGCAAGGTGGACTGGTCTCCAGCCCGTGCTGCTGGGAAGGTTAACATCCACCTTGTATTTCTCCACCAGGAGTTTCAAACATTCCAGTCTGCCGTGGAGTGCAGCGAGATGAATGGCTGCTAGACCCTAGTTGAAAGCAAGATTGAACAACATAAATTGAAACCTATCTAACAATTCAAGGACTGTTCAAAAATATGTTGGCGCTTAAAAGAGTTGACAACAAGCATCATATTCATTTCTATAGCAAGGGACACTTTTAATGATGATGATATCCCTGAATGAGCCTGTTCATTGAATTTAATTGGAATTGAATACACATTGCCAATGTTGATTTTGTATGATTCACACGTGAGGGATCACTCAAGCAAAACTACCACAACTTGCTTACTAAATTAAAAAGGAATAACATGAAGCATAAAAAAATTGTCAACTTCTGATCTTAGCATAATCTTTAAAAGAGAAAGGTGACTGCAAGATCTAATTTCATCGACTGAAAGCACAGTGTGATACAGAGATCAGACAGATCCACCAATGGGAGACTTTTTTTAGTTTTGTGGAAGCATCAAACATACCTGACTAGTCCATTGTTGTTTGCAAGCATGTGCACGTTAGGCCATGAGAATGAGCATCCCGGATTACTGTCCAGACAATTTTGAAAACCCATGAAGTTTTTTCATTAGTATTCATTATTCATTAGTTGGTGAACATACCGCACATCGATAGCGAGTATACATCCATGCAAAAGGAACCAATCTTGAAAGTAGACTAGCTCTCGGCCTGTCTTGCATCATGCCATTTTTACGCTGGTGCACTACGAACTTCCGAGCCATTTTTAACCATTCCTGATGGAAAAAAAAATTCTGAAATTCTTCTTTGGAAAACAATGAAATTTTTTGGCTGCTGTTTAAGCGGTATGCAGGTTGTGGACGGACATCCGGGATATTCATTTCCATGACCTTAGCTCTAAAATGTAACGCAAACAATATAAAAGGACTGGTATGTTTGCCACCACTGAGTGTCTCAAAGTCTCCCATTGTTGCCAACATATCCATTTGTTAAAGGCTAATAACTTAAAGTCAGGCTCACGTTTCTATCATACTGAGATGGATCTCTCCCTGATCTCAATGACTGCTTCAGCCATGCTGTGTCTCCAATGGCAGCTGCCATAAATTCATCATTGTCAAAGGTTGGCCGGCTTGTAGGCTCCCTGCTGCCTGGTTTACTCAACTGATGAGCAGCTGTTGTAACAGTCTTAGATGCAACGCCCAGCTTGGATTCTGCCACAGAGTTTGTGGCAACTGAAGAGGCTGTTTCCGACATGATTACTGAGACTGCTGTCTAACCGATGATGAACACTCACTATTGAGCTGACATTACCATGGTTACACCTTAGCTGGCTTCGGTAGAAAGATTGATATGAAAAAAGAAAAGCTGAGTAGTGGGCCTAGGCCCAGTGAAACCCTTTTCTGTCTGTTAGTGTTACTGTTAGGCTGCAGTGCATAAAACTTGTAGTGCATGTACTTGTTTGTGTACGGTGTAGGCCTAGCCTACAGACTGAACCATTAACTGAAGCTCGCCGTGCAGGAAAAAACTTGGCTTGATCATGTTGGCAGGCAGTAGGCCTAAGTTATGGGATTTCTCCTGCAAATAAAAACCAAGATTACACTTACCTCAAGTAAAGTATTTCGGAATTCAAAGTGTATTTCCAATTGTAAGAAACTATACTATTTTTAAACGAGCCAGCATCAGCTTTGCTTTAGGCCTAGGCCTAACTCTTAGCTCACTGTCGTCTCACTCAGTATGCAGACGACGTACTGAGTGCTGACTCGCCGCATGATGTGATATATCGGGACCGGGTGCCGGTGCAATGTGATGATGATGTACATGTATATGTACAGTTACATGTAGTCCGTAGCTACGGACGCTGAGCATGCAGCGTGCAGCCGGCCTGGCAGAAACTCGGTCAAAATGTGTTGACGGTTGCCATGCATGAAGCAACTTCTGGTATATATTTTTTTTATTTTTTATTTTTTATAAGTTTTCTTCTTCAGATTTTAATGGACAATACCTTCCGAAATTCAACTTTTCTTTAATAAAATTTTGCCTCTGTGGAAATATTCAGGGAATGTTAACAGTGGATTATATTTCTAATTTTAATTGCCTTCCCATAATTCCTGAAGACTTCCCTTAGTAACCAAAATGGCGGCGTACACGAAGGGGTGTTGAGTTTGAATTTAAAGAACGCTGAATTTGAAAACGAATTGTAAACTTGTTTGGAATTAGGTCTGTTTCTTAACTTCTGAGTAAAAATACAAACAGCTTTGCAATCTGAGGAGTACATTTAAAGGTATTTAAGTTTACCACTAGTCGAGTAAATTTTGTTTTTAATTGGGCCTAGGCTTACGGCGCAACATTACTTGCGTGTGTAGGGCCTAGGTCTTACGTTAGAGCCCCGCTAACCATGCTAAAGTGGTGCACTTCGACGTTCAGTTGATTTCCCTCAGTGTTGCCAAACCTCTTTGTTGAAAAGCTTCAAATCCACTTGGTTACATGTAAATACTGGTAGTGGTACTAGGCCTAGTATTAGGCCTACCTTAAAATGATATGGGCTTTTGAACCTTTATGAACAATTTCAGTGTCATGAAATTTCGTCCAAAATTCAAACCACACAAACACAGCGGGGTCCGGAAATTTTACTGTAAGGTTTAAAAAATCACAGAAAATCCCACAAAAAACATGGAACTCAAGTAGAATCTCTTTAGGCCTATAGTTGATAAGTTCTTGTAAATCATCGTCAGGCTGTGTTGCTGGTCAAATTATCCCCCATAGGCCTATAGGCCTAAATAATTTTTAAAAATTCATATTTTTTAGTTTTCACTGGGTTATTTTTGGGGGGTAGGGATAGGCCTACATGTAAGTTGTTTAATTTCTTTGTTACTTTTTCACTGGGGTAATTATTTTTTTATGGCAGGGACGACAACTTGATGACTTAAACCGGGGAAAACTTGACCAGGGGATGACTTGACCAGGGGACAACTTAACTAGGATTTCATTTTTGGGCAACAACTTTACCGGGGGACAACTTGACTCATTTCCTATTAGGCCTACCTCCACGCATTTACCCAACTACATGTACAAGTTTGAAAATTCTTTTTGTATTTTGGGGGTGCATTTTAAACATTCTAAATTTTTTAAGTCTTCATTTTTTAGAATGCATTATTATTCTCAGCCTATTTTTAGTTGCATGATATTGATACAATACTTTGCTTGAAATGTGACATTCATTGTTTTGCAGACACTCATTGTGGACTTTAAAATGTGTGCCAGCAGGGCGTCAGAGAGAAATGCAAGAGAGTTTTATGACACCAAGCAGAAGGCTGTCAAGTTCTACAAGGAGAATGGGGTACCAGAGAGGCTGGAGGAAATCCTCAACTCCATGTTTTATGAAAATCCTCCAGATGTTTACGGTCGCTTGGTAAGAGACAAGATGTTGACAAGAACCATTTTTGGTTCAAACTCAAACCAAGTTGGTTTGAGTTTGAGTTGACCTGATCCCAGACAAACACAACCTCAGTGCTTTATAGATGCTTGTTCTGAAGCATGTGATGGGGAGTACAAATGACAGGTTTTCATCTGAATGGGTACAACCAGTTTTTTAAGATGTATTTCTGAATGCATGTTGTCAGTTCGGCTATAAAAAGTACATGTATCATCTCTCTCCTTGCCACTGTTGAGATTCTGGCTATGATGTCTGTCACCTGCATCCACTGCACACTTATGTTAGCTTCAACATTTATCTTTCAAGGTTTGTTTTGGGCAAAATTTATGGATAGGTTGAGACAGAATAATCTGACTGGAAATCATACTGAGGGCACTGCACGGTGGCGACCACCACTGGTTTTTACCCTGTCTTAACTTACTTCTTTTTGTTTATTTCATCTGTATGTTTAAGCATCTTCGCTATATTTCGCCACCATCATGCACAAGTTTGTGTCAAGATCATTTGTGGCTGTCGTCGTAGTGATATTTTTGTTGTTATCACGGTTTCGTGTACTAGCTTAGACTTCTTGGCCTCACTTTGCTAACTATGGCTACACCCAGAGTACTGTGTTATCATACACATGCAGCAAGTTATACAGCTATCGACCCATCCGGACAAACTCAAAACCACTTGGCCATGAGAACTTCCCAAGTGAAATTCTACCATGGAAAAGAGGCAAGAAAGCTGGCCTTCGGAGGCGGGTCAAAAAAACGAGGATTTAAGTCACCCTTATGGACCATTATCTTTGGGAATGTGTGATCCCTATCTAACAAGATGGACAAATTACACGCGAATGTTGGCTATTTACACAAGTATCGTGACATGCCTTCTATGCTTCACCAATACATGGCTTCATCTAGGTATTCCAGACAGTGCAATGGACATAGGTGATTATGAGCTTGTTAGGGGAGATAGAACTATAGACTCAGGAAAGTCTCATGGAGGGGGTGTCTGCATGTAAATCAATTTGAAATGGTGCAATAACTATTTGTTATAAGAACAGGTATGTACGCCAGACTATGAACTGATTGTTGTTGGCCTACATCCGTTTTACTTACCGAGAGAATTTAATCATCAGGTCTTTGTTGTAGTGACATACATTCCACCACAAGCGAATGTGAAAATTGCCAGTGAATACATTGCCTCATCGAAGCAGCATCACCAGACTCAGCAAAAATTATTTTGGGAGATTTTAATCAGTGCAAACTGGAGACTGTATTGCTAATGTACAGTCAGTTTGTGCAACATGGAACTCGAAACAACGCCTCGCTAGACCAGTGTTATTGTAATCTTCTCAATGCTTTTACACCCAAATTATGTCCTCGGCCGGGCAACTCCAATCACAGTAACATTCTTCTTTTACCATCATATCGTCAAAAGCTCAAGAGAAGCAAGCCAGTGTCCAAGGAACAGTGGGTATGGAGCTTCGATGCCGTCAAGAAATTGCGAGCATGCTTTGACTGTACAGAGTGGGGTATTCTTATGGATTCAGCAGACTCTATTGATGAAGTCGTTACAGCATTATCTGATTATGTTAATTTCTGTGTTGATAATGTAATTCCTCTGAGATCTGTAAAGTTTTATCCGAATCATAAACCCTGGATATCCAAGGAATTGAAAAAATTGCTTAATCAAAAAAGGACGGTGATAAGTTAGGTGCTAAGTCTCTTCAAAGAGATATTGACAAGCAAATTAAGATGTCTAGGATGAAGTACTGTATAAGAGGAAACTGGAGAGGGATTTCCGTGAAAATAGCCCATGTGCCATCTGGCAAAAGATGCAAACGATTGTTGGCTATAGGAGTGCATCCAAGGAGGTGGTTTTAGATGAGGGGTTTGTGAATGATCTGGAGGATTTTTATAGCAGGTTTGATGTGCATGACTTCACAGCTGAAAATGTTTCAATCAGAGATGTTCTCCAAAACAGGAGAGATTACCCAAATGCAATGAACATAGATGTACAAGATGTTCGCAGTGTGTTTGCAAAAACAAATGTTAACAAGGCAATGGGTCCGGATGGAATTCCAAATAAGGTTTTGAATTTGTGCAGTCAACAGCTTGCTGATAATTTTACTTATATTTACCAATTAATTATTGATAACGGTATTATTCCTCAGTTATGGAAATCGTCTGTTATCATCCCAGTTCCGAAGGTCAACAATCCTAGTGAACTAAACCACTATCGACCTGTAGCCCTGACTTCAAATGTCATGAAGTGTTTTGAAAGAATATTGTAAGGATTTTTGAAGAATCAGGTGGATTCTTTAGACCCGACTCAGTTTGCTAACAAAATGAACAGAGGTGTTGAAGACGCTGTGCTTGCATGTATTCCTTCATAACCTTTATCAACACTTGGAGACCCAATGTTGTACACTGTATGTCCGGTCGGTCTTCAGCAATTTTTCAAGTGCATTTAATACTACCGTTCCTCATCTGTTAATTGATAAGTTACTCAAACTGAATGTTTCATCTTAACTTGCCTTGGTTATTCATGATTTTTTGGTTGACTGACCATAGTGGGTTAGGTGCAATAATGTTACTTCAAGAGTCAGGTCTTTGAGTCTAGGAGCACCTCAAGGGTGTGTGATCTCCCCAATTTTGTTTTCATTGTATACTAGTGATTGCCGATTCTCTGATTCAAACTGTGCCAAGCGTGATCCAAAATTAGGTAACATTTATGAAAAAAATTAAAATTCCTTTAACACCCTTAAAAATTGCTTTATTTCACAAAGAAAAGATTATATTTTTCTAATCTAAAAGAAATGTCCAACAATATCATCATTAATTAATTAATATCATGTACATGTATTAAAAATGATACCAACGATCATGAAATGTGAGGGACGGACAGAAACTTCACTGAAAAAGGCAAGTTTTGGAATTTAGGAAGAGCTGGAATCCTACAATTGTTGTCCACATTAAGAGTAGACATGCCATGCTTTCTTGCAAACATGGGGTTAAATTAATTTTCTCATGGTAATTAACAGGAGGGTCACTTCAGGGCAACATTCCAAATATTGTCCATCCCTCACGAGTTAGAATCATCTTGTTTTCTCAAGGCACATAATAAATCAACAGGATTTAAAATGTATCCTATCTATTGATGATTATCAGTCACTACTTGAATACAAACTTATCAGCATCTTGGCTTTTATTGTATGAAGTTATACCTCTTAATTATCGTGAGGGACGGACATGTCCGTCCCTCACAATAATTAAAATGATAATTCTCAGGCAAGTAGCAATATTCTACATATGCCAACTTTGCAGGGTTTAATGATGCTGATGATGATCCAAATATTATTACAAGTGTAAGGTCCACCTTTCTCCTTCTTCTATCCCAATTATATCTGGAGACCATCTACACACTTGACAAAGAAGAAGTAATTTGTTCATAAACAGTGTACAGCGTGGCACTATACTCTTCAACACATTTTCCAAGACTATATTTTATCCAGCCCCAGAAATTGATATTTTCTGTGTGACAATTAATACATTCTATGTGTCACTGAATTAAAATCTTGTCAGTTGAATAGTTAGAACATTAACCCTAACCCTCCTCAATCCTTCACCCGTTGGAGGACTGAGGAGTGTTAGGGTTAATGTTTTGTTTATATTAACCAAAGTTGAGAATTTTTCCAGGTATCAATAATAAATACAAATCTGTGGACTTACATGTAGGTGAAGGTAGTCATTTTATTGATGTCCGCCCTTCATGCCCTAAAAACTTCGTTAACAAAAACAAAACAAACATATTGAAAATGATATGTAGCCAACTTGCACTGGTGTCAGGGGTAAACATACATGTACATATGCCTTTTACTGAGAATAAGTATTCAGGAAATCTTTGGCAGAGCAATTAATGCATTGATGTCCGTCCCTCACGTTAGGGACGGATTTGGATCATGCTCTGCGATCGTTAAGTATGCAGATGACACTGTTATAAGTGGCTTTTTGCAGGATAACGCAGAGGCTTACTTTGAGCAAGTCGAACAGTTTGTAAATTGGTGTGATAGCCATCACCTGTTTCTGAATGTAAACAAAACCAAAGAAATGATTTTTTATTTCCACCGGTCTCAGTCTTCAAACCCCCATGTTTAATTAGTTATTCACGACCATAGCATAGAGCAGGTATCTGAATATAAGTACTTAGGAACTCTGATCGACGAGAGGTTGAATTGGAAGAATAACTCACAAATTGTAGCTGATAAGGCGAGTCAAAGGCTGTAGTTCCTGAGGAAAATGGGGATTGAGTTCTGAGTGGACAACCGTATCATGGTTCTCCTTTATCAGTTAGTACTGCAGAACGTTTTTATGTTTAATTTTTGTGTACCTTTGGCAACCCATTACAAGAAAGCATTAAGAAGCTTGAAAGACGTAGGAAAATCCGAACAGATCTTCCTTCTATTTGTAGTTTGTATGAGAAAATTGACACATTCTTTTGAAGATTCATAGTATAATGCGTGATCCCACACACCCAATTCACGCTTGTTTCAACTACAACCAGTCAGGTATTGGACTGTGTGTTCCTAAGACAACTCATCATTTCAGACAGTCTTTCATTCCAAATGCCATCCATGCTTTCAAAAGCAATGTAAAACGGTAAAATTGCATTTTTTTTGTTACTGTTGTGTAATCTATCATCTACTAAATGCGTATCCCACTGTAGCGTCTTAAATGAGTTGTTTATGGGTGTTCCGGTGTTCGTACTGCTTTCTGTTTCTTTTTAAATATCTCTTCCTGGAATATCATCCAAAGGTTAGGTTGTAGGAATCTCTTTAGTAACCGTATGCGTAGTATTTTAATGTACTGTGAATTTTTGGGGGGGTCTTTTTGAGGTTGGGTTGTATCGTGTCAGTTTGTGCCTGGTTTTTACCATTTGTATTTTAAAATATTTTATTGACTAAGTTTTTAGGTTTTGAATGTTGTAATATACCAATGTAAACTAAATTTTCATGTTTTTTACATGGACTAATAATAATGAATGAATGAATACTTGAAAGTGCATATGTGCTTTTTTTCTCCCTCTATTTTAGTCAGAACACTTTGAGTCCCTGTCAATTCCACCTGTTATTCACAAAGTGATGGCTAGAGAGGTTTTAGATGGCAGAGGTCAGCCTACCCTACAAGCAGAGCTCCACTGCATTGTCAAAGGTCTTGAACAGGTACAAACTCCTTTCCCAATTTTCCATTTTCCCATTGTATACAGGTTGAATAATAATCCTACAATGTGCCAAGTTTTTCCTTACTTTTTCTAATTGTTCCTCGGCAATTTTCATGGCCTTTGAAAGTAAGTACATCGTCTGATCGCAAGTTGCCCACATTAGTTTGCTCAATTGTTGAGTGTTAATTCCTCTGGTGGCACCGTTTTTACTCAAAGCATTTGTCAACTGTCACCATGGCCAGCACAAACCTGCTGATGGAGAGTGCCCCTGTTGAGAAAAAGGAAGCAGACGAGAAAGAGAGACAGGAATTTGTTGATGCAGCTCTTCAATTCATTCAAGGACCAATCACAGAAGCTATCAGTGGCATCGGCCCAGCCAATCAGGGAGAGATTGATGAAAATGTTTGGTGAGTTTTTGCTCCTGATTGGAAATTTTGGAAGGCAATTTTTGAAGGTAATAATTTGTTTAAACCTGAGTTTTAAAAGATACTGTTTTGTCATAATCATCAAGGTGTGTTTGAGGATTTGGGGTAAAATTTCAATTCTGCCCCCAAATTAATTCATGGGCTACTCTAAATTCTGAAAGCTGTATCCATCAACCTCCTTCCTGTGGACCATATTTGATATTTGACCTTAAGTCAGTTCCAGCAGTTGAAGATATCAAAAATTGTCCTGGAAAACTCTGGAAAAATATTCAGCAGGTGATCAGTAAATTACAAGCATGCAACAATTCCTCTGATCAGCTGATTTCCTTATTTTTCACTTCACACTTATGCCATTGAATATTGAAAAACACTGTACAAAGTCTTATAAATAATCAGGATTTCCTCATTTTGTCAAATTCCAAGTTGCATGCCTGTAATTATATTTTATCTTTGGGCTAACGAAGCTAAGAAATAAATGGAACCCTTTTTTTGTAATGTGCAATGTGAACAGTACCCACAATGACCGAGAATTCTGATGGATCAATAAAAAAATTGTGCAAAATATCAAAAAAAATTATCATGATAATACCTATCCCACATTTTTGGCTCAATCCCCATAAGTGCATGTATTACGCTTTTGCTCTTATCAGTTTTTTTCAATTAATCGCATTATAGGAAGATCCTGATGAAATTCCAGACTGAGAAGGAAGAGGAGGAGCGTAAAGAACGTGAGCGGGCAGCAGAGCTAGAACCTCCACCTCCTGAACCAGCCAAGGAGGAAAAAACAATCTCTCCAAAGGGCAAGAAGAAGCTAGGTATAAGCTACATGTATGTCTCTGATAATTTACAGTCAGATCTACACAGTACAAGTACATGTACATACAACATTTTCTTCAATAAAAAACACATTTAAGTTGCATTTCTCAACATTGTTGTACATTTTTTCAAGTGTTAATCTACACTTTGGCTACTTTGTATGCCTGCTTGTTTGAGCCTAGATTTATGAAATGTGTTACAAAGTTAACACTGATATGGGATTTCCTAATTGTTTAATTTCAAATGATTTACAATACTTGATTGGATTTCTTAGTATTCTTGTAGTTGAGGCCTTTTTAGACCATCACAAGACCTCCAGTCTAATTTTGACTCACAAGCTATTCAAACGACTTACAACAAAGTATTCCTCTGTTATTGTTCACCCTGCTACTCGTTACGGTCTTGTGATGGTTTCAACTAATGTCCATGACGGTATAGTTGTCAGATCTCTTGTTTCACCAATTACAGTGAAATCCCATGAGACTTGACAATAGTGGCTAAATCAGGGACCTGACGACTACATGCACATGGTCACAGACGTTGAATCTGTTTCTTAGACCATCAAAAATGAGTTCTTATCCCTACACTATAGGAAACCTTGCATTTTCTTGAAGTCAAGTCACCACAAGCGTATAATTAGTAACCCTGCTTCAACTCAGGCAACGTCTTCTTTTAAGTGAACTCCAACCAAAAAAGCATTGTTCTGTCATTCCCTGTTTGGACTTGCAACTTGACTTGTGGTTTACCTTTTGATTGACTAGCAGTTGATTCAGTTACTCCCGTGCTGTCATTACTCAATACACTCTGCCCCTCCATATCTCAGTCACTACTCGCTAGCATCTTTTTACAAGAACAGAAGTACATGTAGCATGAAATCACGTCAAATCAATCACCCAAGAATGATAGTGACTTGTGGGGTAGCAGAACAATAAGACATACATGTACCCTACTTTATTGGTACCCCACAAGAATTTCATCAATAAAAGTGTTTGTAATTTAGTCATAGCGGAGGAATTTCCCATTTAGTCATAAAGGAGGAATTTCTGAGGTGTACAAATCAATCACAAGTTGAAGTATTTTACGTATGAGACACTTGGTTGAAATTTCAGCTCATTAAAATGATGCTGGTTTAAACGGAAGTGATTTGAAAACTGCACTTCACACAGTGATTTCTTAGTACAATGAGATCAAAGAAATTTACCTCACAAAGATATAAATTTGTATGTTTGTATCTTTGTACACAACAATGCAGCGTTGCAAGTACTTTTCACATCAGCAGGTGATATTTTGTGTAATAAATGGAACAATTTTCGTCTGTCATACTCGCATAGCATTGTGTGTGAATTATTTGAAAATGAAACTCTGATTCTCATTTCTTTGAAGGGAGTGCCAAGTCTAGCACAGTCGTGATGGAGGAACCTAAAGAACCAATGCTCCCAGGTTGCAATGCTGCATGTGTCGTTTCACAGGCTGTAACTCTAGCAGCAGCAAAGCTCTCCAAGATCCAACCCTTTGAACACATTGCCAACTTGTACTCTTCTCAGGTATGGAGGAAGGACTGCTTGAAGCACATTATCATTGCATAAAAGTTTGAGTAAAATATGGGAGCATTTTGTTCAAATTATGTTTTGAAATAAAATGTGGGGTTTTTTAAGTAATTGTGCTGAGAAATGCAATGTGGGTGGATGGTACTTTTTCAAAGTGTTTTTGAAATTGGGGCTTGTTTCTTTAAAGAAAACAAATAGTGTAAAAAACATTTGAAAGCATTCAATGAAATAAGTTTTAACATGCACGTCTATGTAATGTTCTGTATTCTTCATCCATGCAGAGTTTTTATTTTATGATAATGTGTAACTGAGAAAAGGGCAAAAAGCCGATTTAAAGTGCGATACATTTTAGAACTAATGATGATAAGGTATGATTTTTATTACACTTATTATGAATGTTCAGGAACAGCAAGAATATGAGCTTCCCTTGTTGATGGTGAATCTTTTGAATTCTGGAAAAGCCTACCCCGGCAAGCAGAACCTCATCAAGGAATTGCTGCTCATCCCTAAACCAGGGAAGACCCTCAGGCAGGTGAGAGGTCAGAATATCCCCCAATACACTGGTCACTGATGGAGACAGATTTGAGAGACCTCAAACAATTGCTTATATCATGAAAGAATTGCTTTGAGTGAAGAATAAGTACCAGTGCTAGGTATTTGAACATGGAAAGCAACGTTGCTTAATATACCGGTAGAAGTGAAAGCAAAATGAGAAAATTGCATGTTGGAAAGGTCTTTAAAAAGGTCACGGTGAATCCAAGGTGAATCATTAATGAGTGTCAGCAACAGCGTGAGGCAAAAATGGACCCCAGATTTACAGAATAACTAGCCTGTTAACATTCTTTAAAACCCTCAAAGTGGAAAGTGCATTTTCTTTGGGAAAGGCATATTGCTAAACAGCTTCTGGTAAATTCACTCAACTCACTCTAGATGACGATGATTATTAGACTAGATAGGCCAACTGTTTAGGACGAGCATGCTGCAGATGTACAGTGTTAATCTGTTACCTTCACCTACCCCCTGTTCTGGCTGTTGACTTGCTTTCATTTTTTTATTTGATGTGTCTGTGCTGTTAACTATAGTCTCTGAAACAACTGACAGCCATCCACCATCAAGTGGGCAAGTTGCTTTTTCCAAAGCTGGGGGTAAGTCTGATTTACTATCAATATCATAATTTGTTGATTTCTTGGAGGGATTTAGAACAGAATGCAAGGAAGGTTCCCCAAACCAGCCCAAAGTTTGAACATATTGCAACTGTTTCTGTCATATAATACTCGGCAGGTCTGAAACAGCGAGAGAGCAAGTAATATGGAGGTTTGCCATTAGCTAGATATATTATTTTCTATGGGAAAAAAGAAAGGAATTAGTGTGTATGGAGGTCCCCTGTCCATTATTTTGCAGGGTTTGAGACATTCTTCCAGAGATGCTGAGGGGAAAGTAGCTGTTGAAAAAAAACAGAAAAAGAATATCTTATGGAGCAGCGCAGACATCCGGGAGTTTCACAGAATGGCAGGTAGCAAACTACACAGCACCAGTGAAAACAACTGCAACGAGCACACGTATATATACTGATCAAAGAAAAGATTGTGTAACCCGATGATTTGACTGGCTGGTGTGCACGTATGTCGCCATAGTCGCTGTTTTCACCGGCGCGATACCTGCCATTTTGCGAGAATCCCAGATGTCTGTGCTGCCCCCATTGGAAAGTTGCCACGCCTTTTGTGGTGACATATACCAAGCATGTTGACAAAAACCCCTCTTCCCAGTTTATTGCACTCGTAAAGTAATGGCATACAGTAAGCAATGCTAACATTGGTCCTGAACACTGGTCAGTTGGTATTACATGTATGGCTTTGCTCAAGGACCATGTTAAAATCAGTAAATTGTAGTGCAGTGTCTTGAAGCAAGCTTTTCATTCCCAGTTTCTTCTTTTCATTTTGTGTCCTTTTCTTGTTTACTTTTGTGTTAGGTACCTGGGTTATACGTGAATGACTTTGGTGGCTACTGTCCACAGTATGACCGGCCAGAGCAGTTATTGGACCTTGCCCAGGAGGCTATCACTGCTCTTGATCTGACCCCAGGAGAGGATATCTTCATTGGTCTGAACTGTGCTGCCCATGAAATGTTTGACTTGGTAAGTTACAACACTTAAACTGTCCACAGACAGGGATTCATGTAACCAAAATGTGTTGTAATCCCATGACTAGTCTACTAGGAGATCATCATGTGCACAGTGCACACATTCTAAAATTTGAAGTGTGCCTGCATTTTTGACAAGGTCTAAATATCCTTTTAGTCAAGAGTTCTTCATCAGCAATTCCCTTCAATTACTTCATGCAGCATTTACTGTTTGCTATTTTACTGCATAACTGATGACTATTGCCCAAAAGACTTTCCCTCTTCAGTTGTACCATACTCCCAGAGCAACCAAAGCACTGTGTCATTTTCAATGAGTACATTCGTATGTACAAAATACATTGGTATTCTGAGACTCCGCGTTGCTGAAAAACATGTCCCCTCTCATGTCTGTAGAAGTGTGGTGCAACAAGACTTGAAATATTCTTTGGCAGTTCAAAATATGAGAAGTCAAAGTGCTTTGAACCATTTTTGTGTTTGAACAGACTTTACATCAGTGGGAAATTTTCTCAAATTAAAATTAATGTTATTTGAGGCATTTGCTTTAATTTTCTTTCATGAAAATGGAATAGTTCCCAATTGAGGGACAAAGTGTGATATAACATTGTGTCAGAGTGCCTGACTGTAAAAAGTTGAACTAAAAAGTGAACGGTTCAGCAAATTAAACATTTGCAATTTCATTGACAGTGTGTCTATTACCCATTCTTTGTTTTCACAGGATAAAGGAAAATACGAAACAGCTCAAGGAATGTTGAAATTACCAGATGACATGATAGAGGTGTATGCTGATCTCATCAACCGGTATCCAGCCATCATTGCCCTCATAGATCCCCTCAAAAAACAGGTTGGGGAACAAATGACCCTCATCAACTTGCCCCTTTGCCTAAAAGGAAACTCCCAACTAATTTGCCTTAGCTCCATCAGTTTTGTAGACCTTGGCGGAAGCTACTGACTAGATCTTTGTAAAAGGCTGGCAGGTATTGAGCATGTTTGACGGAGTCATTTCATGATTTCAATTCAGACATAGTCAACATGATTAACCCACCTAAGAAAGAAGAGCTAGCTAGTTGTCGTATCACAGTTTTTACTTAGGGATCTTATTTGACCATGAACTGTGTTTGTCCAATTTTTGTCTTATTTCCCTACACTTCTAGCTGTCAGGAATTTGCCATAGTTCCATTAGGAAAAAAAAAGAAACAGAAGTTTCAAGTTTTTCTCCTGAATGTTTTATGCTGAATTCTGAAAAATCTTGCTCCTCGCAGCGTTCCGACAATACATTAGTGTTATCTTAACTTTCAAGGGGCATCAAGACATTAAAAGTAGACATGAATTGGCTTCACCTTCCTAAAGTTATTCTGTGTTCCAAAGCCTCCTTTTGGATTGAAAGAATCGGGGTCAGTTAGGGTATCAAAAATGTGGTTATTCATGGATGAAAGGCAAAGAATGGTCAATTTTTTATTTTATCTGACTTATGAGAGCAATTTCCCATGTTTTTCTTAGGACGTAGAGCAATGGCGCAAGCTGTGTGAACGTTTCAGCGAGCAGTGCTTTATCATTGTAGACAAGGCCTATTCCAGGGCTGAGACTCTTCTCAAGCAGGGATTTGGTGAGCTACGTAGTACCGCTGTCTCATTGAAACTACAGCAGATGACTAGTGTTAGTACCATCACTGAAGCTGGTAAACTGATCAAAGGTAAGTCAGCAGCCAAACCCCCATGTGAGGCATACTGCTGATTCCAGAGTGATTCTTATACTTACTAAATAAATTAAGAAATAATGTTACAGTTTTGAAACTTAATTTTGGTTTGGAGTTAAGGGTTTTTTGTTTTGTTTAAAGAGTAATTGTGTTTAACAACAGTTGATCATACCCTCCCCCTGAAAAAAATTTGAACTAGTATCTGTAAGGCATGCATGACCTTATATGCAAGTGTAAATTCCTTGTTACTTAAGTGCTTCAGCTGTGTTCCCATTGGGCTTTCTCTTCCGTGCCCTTGTTGAAACTTACCCACGACTCCCTGTGAATATTGTTTTGCCTAAAACATCTCTGCATTCCAACTTGGACTTTTGTTTACAGCAGAGGAATGTTAATTAATTTCCATGTGTAGTTGATCAGTGTGCCATGGCACCAGTGTGTGATAATCAACCACGATGCTGCTTGAGTAGTTACACTAAACGACCAACATTTCTTCCCTTCTACCAAAATTTTTTTTTTCACTCCAAACTCTGTCATATTTCTCACTATTTCGACTCATCTGCAAAGGCGCATACAAAGTAGAACATGGCATGCAAAATAGCAGTACATATATATGTACATATGAATCGGTAAGCACAAAGGGTCAGGGAACTGTACTTTTCGTGAGGCATTTTATAGTTCATCTGCAGAAGTTACTCAGGACAGTTCCCAGGCCGGTTTGAGGGCCCTGTGAAACCACCGTATGAAACACTACCTCTGCAGAAAGTTTCCATGACCACATACAGCCAGCACAATTCAGATTAATAGGGACATTGGTTCTCTGTGCATTCATTGTGGACTTAATTGTGCAATTTTTTCAAGAGTTCAGTCACAGTAGTCTAGCCAAAATAATAAACTGGAACATGACTTAAGTGTCAGTTACTAAAAATTTCCCTGAAAAATTTGGTTACATGGAGTAAAGAATTTTTGAATGCTGATTTGCAGAGAACAATGCAGCTGTGGTGATTTCAAGTGTCCTTGGTGAGAGTCCTGATAGTTTTCTGGCTGATTTGGTAAGTTGGGTTTGATTGGGAGGGGTTAAGTGTAATCTGTACTCACAGTTGAAACTCCAACAAGAGCACTTGTCAGAAGCCATCCACCAGATGTTTTTCAAACTGTACCAGATTCAGTTCCAGTATAGAGTAATCTCACACCTGGAATTAGAAACAATCACTGTGGCAGTACATACCATGCTTTTGTTACAATGTCTCTCTGACCAGTAAGGTATAATGCCCATGTGCATGAAAACTCAAGTTCAAGAAACTGCACGAATACGGTGTCACTGTAGTTTAGGCCCCAAAAAAGTCTCCGGTTTCTGGTCAGGGTGTGCGTCTACCATAGACCTGTACGTTAGCAAAATAAAAAGTTTTATATTTGGTATAAAACAATGTCCAAAAGCTGCCAAACTTGCTTAATCAACTGTAACCCTGCTACTTCGTAATTTTAATGCATTTTTGATGGGGTATGGTTGAGTAATATGTACAGTAAAGGAGTCTCTCTAGTTCCCCGTACATTAAGTCGGGCACTCTTTTCAGGTGTCGTCATTTACCTATTACACATTTACATCTGGGAGCCAGACAAACAAGGTGGTCTTATGTCCTGTGTGCGTGTACCAGCTGAAAATGCTTTTAAACAGTAAAACTGGCTGGGGCCAGTCTTAATGTTGGTAGCAGCCGGTGTTATGTTAAAAAAAAAAGCTGCATCGCTGCACCACTTTTGGAGCCAGCACCTGACCAGAAACCGGAGACATTGGGGGGGCGGGCTTCTTTGCCTTTTCAAAGCATGCCATCACAATAGGAGGATGCAATTTGAAGTGGGTAAATTTGGAGTAAACACAAGATTTTACCGAAACCAAATAGTGCTCTCTATTATGTCCACCAAACATCAAATAGGCTAATTGGAACATACTACATGTGTACACCAGAATAAATTTCATATGTTGGTTGTGTTTCATATGTGGTATTACAGCTTGTGAAGGGCCACTCTCTACATATAGTAGGGATATTGTGTCGAAATTGTGCACTGAAAATGTAGCTCATTTTAAAAAAATATTCTCACTTAAAGTTCACTGCATTGACTAGCTGTTGTGCAGTTGAAGCAAAAGACTGAAGAACTGATAAGGTGCTGCGAGTGATTACTATTAAAAAGAAAGGTTTTTACATAAGTTTTTGATCAATTAAGATCTCTGATGAGCAGAAGAATGCATCCAAGGTATCAATGGAAAGCTTATTACCCGTAGTTTAGAATAGGGGTCGTCATTTATAATTATGGTCGTGGTCATTGTGTTCATTGGCTTCGTCATATTTTCCTTTGGGTTACAGTTTTGGAGACACCCTCATATAAAACAGGAAAAGGTTTTTTCTTTGGTTTTCACAGTTCAAAAGAATGCTTGCACATAACGGTTTTTTATTAAAATTAGTTTGTAAACCCTTTAAATTCCTATACTTTGTTAGATATCTAAGCAAATTAATGTGTCCTCAGAGACCTGTTCATGGTGTGGTTTCATAGCTTTTGTACTACTTTTGAGTTGCTTTCCACAATGCAGAAATGCCATGTATATTTCTCATCCCACTTCACAGGCTGTTGGAGTTAGCTCCAGGTTTGTCAAGTTTGGTGCTATCAATCGTGGCGAGAGGATCTGCAAGTACAACCGTCTTCTGGAGATAGAAGATATGTTGATATCTCAGGACAGGATCAAGGCAACTGTGACATTTGGTTTCCCTGTCATCAAGCCACCTGAACCAGAGGAGACTGCAGAGGATGAGAACAAACAGGAATGATAGCTCTAGCATTTCTGAATTCTAACTACTAGGGGAATAAAGCTCTTTGACAAGTCGCTGCTTTCAGCTCATTTTGGGATATATTCCCGCCTAGGTTGCACACGTTCAAATCCTTCCGACACTAAGGACAGATCCAGAACCAATTTTTTGGAGAGTCAACAAAATTTAGAAAATTTTACAGCATTTACAAACTTTTTAAGAAAAGGAAATTAAATTGTTCCCCAAGATGGTGCCCCTACCCTCACCTCACCCCTCTTTCCACCATTATCTGACATTGGCAGTGCTGAGATTTGCTGGAGGTTAACAACCTGTAACTATATGCTCTGTCTGTAGGGAATAGCTTTACTAGCAGAATTCAGTCAGATATCAATCACAAGTGGAATCATAAGTTTGGTTGCAGGTTCATTTATCAGTAACTGCAAGTGAATAAGTGAACAGATTTGAAGGGACTGTTTTTGGTTTGTGTAAGTGGCGTGTGGCTTGAGACAAGAGAACTTATGATCGACTAGCAATTAAAATGAGCTTAGTGTGACTAATTGATTATATCTCATGTCACCAGTCACTTCCTTAATAAAATTTGTTAAAAGATGTAAAAAACTTTAATTCATAAATACCTGAGACAGTTTTTCTATTCCTGTTGGTCAAGGCGCAACACATGACTGTGTATTAACATTATTTTGATAATGCCTGCTGAAAAGTGATAATGCCCGGTGCGTAAATCACGCGCTGGCACATGGATATGAGACAGTTGAATCAAGTCTGATTGGTCAGGAGTCTTATGCACGCGACGTGCCATGCACGCGCACGCGCCAAGTTCATTGAAGGGGAGTCTATTGGACAATTAAAAAGGAATGTACCATAAAATGAACGGGGGTGTTCGGGAAAATGAAAGTGAAGATTTAGAACAAAATCATTGGAAATCCATTATATGTTGACTTCATTGACTCTTTGAATAAAGAGGTATTTATGAATGTATTTATGAATGTGCTTGGGCGGTCTAGCTTTTAAGACCTTGCTTCGGAGAATGAACGCTGATAAATGCCTGCGGCCAGGCATTACTTGCCTCTATTCTCCTGAGCGGCCAAGCACATAATTATTCCCTTATTAATTGACTAGGTTTTCTAGTGAACTATTGTTTTGACAGAATGTAACCTACATGAACCACTTTGTGTCAGAGGACTTGTAGCACAACCTGCAGGCTATCTACATACGTACAGCTGTTGGGTTAAAAAGCATCAAACATGCCTTGACTCTCCTCTGGCTGATGATTGAACATGCTGTTCCCTCACTTGATACAAAGTCCAATAGTCTGTGAAGTTTCACCATATGTTGAACTGAGACAGCCACTGAGTTGTGTAGCCAGTCTCGAACCATGGGTGGGCCCAAGTGTGTGTTAGTAAGAACTACTGCACAAGTTCTGTTCACATGACTCTTGTGAATTGCTTTGTGTGGCGTTTGGTTGTATCAAAATTTGTATGTTGCAATATGTTGCCTTTTTTTTCTGAATTAAAATTTCCAGCCAAAAACAATTCTACACCGAACATAAATGTAGGTGGGGGCATCAGGAAGAGGGAGCACTTTTCCCCTCTCTTCCGCATAGGTGATTTCATTGGCCCCAAATATTTTAAGGCCCACCTGCACAATTTGGATAATCCAGCCCTGCTTTTGCGTGGAGCATATCTCCTCATCAGGTTCCTTTCCTGACACAGCCCACAACCATTGGTGACACTTTCTTTCTCACGTTTCACTTTCCTAAAAAGTTGGAAAAAAGTCAACTTACCAAAGCAACATGGTAGCAAGTAAATTTGATTGGAATGTGGGTGCCTGCAGTGAGCCAGTTTGTTATACCAACAGCACAAGCCCAAAATGAAACGTGTGGTATGTATTCTTGAACAGCAATGCATGCATTAGTTCTGCCCAGTCAGTACAACGGCATAAACACCAACCTGCATACGCTCCATGGTTTGTTCTTGAATGGCCATGCCTTGTTGAAATATGAAACTGAATTATTGCCCTTTTTCAAGCCCAAAATATATAATTACTCCTATTTCTGTACATTGAGCACACCCACATCACTTTTATTGAACTGTACCATTTCAAATGTAAATGAAGACTTTTATACCAATATTTTCAGCAACATTAATAGACAGATTTGTATGAATGTTTCTTTTTGTTCATATTCGGTGTGTACAGTATGGAGACTAGTGTGGAAGTGTATTTATTTTTGGCTGCTTCAAAGTTATTAAAATGTTATTTGGTGTACTTGAATTTTCATTTAAAAATTAACAAAAAGAGTGTTTGAATTGTTTTTGATTTAATCTGGTTTTATTTTGTTAAAAAACTTATCCTTACTAATTTGCAATGAACTGTTTTCCATGGACGTTTGATTTTTCCCTCCGAAAGCAATTAATGGAGCCACTTTTCAAGTTTTGCCCATGCATGCGCTTTTGGTATGAAAATTGAAAGCAGGTTTAGACCGAGATATAGAATTTAGC